CGCGGCCGCAGCCCGCGGGCCCGTCTCCCTGCCTCGGTAGCCACAGCCCCCTCAGGCCTGGGCAGCACCGCTTCCCGCTGTCACCCTGCCCGCAGCAGCTGGTGGGCATTAATTTGTGACGTTAATCTCTCCAGTAATTACAAACCTTCTTTTTGCCATTATGGTACAGCAGGTGCGAAAGATTTTTAGGTGTTTGGAAGCACTGCTATTCAGCCTTCCCCATCAGGAGCGGCCGCCCGGTCTTGCTGACATTGGAAACCAACAAGATGTTAAACACGGGTTTCAGGAATTGACAAAAATCTCTCTGTAAATACACGATGAATAAGCAGGCTGCTACCGGGTAGCTGTAAAGGAAATGAGAGACAGTCTGACAAATCTCAGATTAGTTTGGCACATTTTTGACGCTTTTAAGCGTAGTGGGATGTGAAGAGTAAACTTAGAAGCGTTTTTCTGCAAAAGCAGATTCAGAGTGGTATAGTGAAAGACGGAATGCAGCGTTACTTCAAAGAGCTTGCTTCATGAGGGTAATTCAGCTAGGACTTGAGTTAGAAGCTGTCGTTTGGTGTTTGTAACACTTTAACCAATTCACGTTAAAAACCCAGTGTTGTGTGGTCTGGGTTTTAGGAAGAAATGGAAGGGGAAGATGCCCTGAGAGTATAAACCACTTCCTGAGCTAGAGTAACATCTTGGGGAGACGTCACTTCTTCTAAAGGAAGGATTTTTGTGGTTTGCTTTTCTAGCTGGCTCAACGAAGCCAAGCCTTATCAGTTTCATTCTGAACCCACTCGCCAGCCAGAGGAACAATGGATGGACTTTAATACCAGCGTAAATTTCCAATATCCTGGCTGTTGTAACTCAGAGCAGAATTTGATCTCCTACACATAGGATTTCCCCAACTAAATGCTTTAAAGTATCATGCAAGGAAAGATTGTGATACAGGCAGGTTAGGTCTCCATAACCTGAATTAGACTGTAATTGCGTATCTCAGTCAATGATGGTGCTGAGGTCAGTGAAAGCATGTACTGAATCAATTAATTTGTGACAGCTGAAATTTTCCCCAGCTCAGCCTTTGGATTTCATTCAAAACTTTCTTTAAAGAAACAACAGTGTGATAATTTGCTGCATGCTTTATTTGAAGCATTCTAGAAACCTGGAGCCAAGTCTCGGATTTTTTTATTTGCCTGAAACTCCAGCTGACTTCAGTGGGAGTGTTACCCAAGAAGGGAGTTCAAGAGTGAGCCTTTTATGTGGTTAAATAGATAATTGATATGGGTGCAGTTATACCACTTGTTTTTAATATAAATAGCAGTGTGCTTAGTAGGCAGAGAGAGGTAGGTGGTATAGTAATGGCATTTAGAACTGTTTTAATAAAAATTTAGTTTGGGATTAGGTTGAGTGTTAGTTGCTATTAGCATATGCAGTTCATTATTATCAGGTGTGTATTTACTGGGGAGGTGAAAGAGGCATTGGCCATCACACAGAGCTGACTGATGGCTGCTGCAGATACGGAGGCTCCATCTTCCTGGCTAGCTCGGGTTTGTGTCCATCCCTAGTTATTGCATTAATGTTTTCTCACTCACTGAATCATGCCTGAGATTCAGCCTTTAAAGTCAAAGTCAGCTTCCTCTTTCACAAGATATGATTGCCAAGTGATTCTCAGCCTTATGGTGGTAATTATATGAATTTAAAGGGTAGTGGCTAAATTCATGGAATTGAAATGGAAGTCTAATGATGGGCTATTCCTATTATAAAACGTAGCTTTAGAAAAGACTTCCCATGACTCCATTAATATGTTTCAGATTGATTGATAAGGATTTTAGTAGCACCTTTTTGTTGTTAGGTGAGGTACGATGGAGTGACTTAAAAGCTATTTGATGTATAAGGCAGTGACAGTATCAAATCACACAGTTTAGCTTGTTTATCTTCCTTATTCTTTTTTTAAGGCTGTACAGGGAAACGTGACTTTTTGGTTCTGCCTTAGAACTAATTTGATTTCTAATTTTATTTTAATGAAATTTTAATTTATTTAACTTTTATTCCGTGCAAATAGAATGGAAAAGATATAACATGGTAGAAATGCTATCTGAAACATATATATGATTAATCAATTGCGTTTGCTTTTTCTAGGGAAAATCCAGAACGTACCTTTGATTTGGTACTGAAAGTAAAATGCCAAGCATCTGAAAATGAAGGTAATATACCGTGCCTATTGATATTTCTTTATAGAAATGGGGGGGGGAGGAGAGAAATAGTTTGCATCCTGATCTAGTGTCATCTTATAATTTGAATTGCTGTTGGATTGGGATTGTACTAGAAAGCAACTATGGTTATTTTATTGCATTTTAAAATCTATGAATATGTTAATTCATAGTTGTTGTGGGTTTTTATTGTTATATTTTCATTTTGGCTATTGTAAAAGTATTTTTGTTCTGAGAGAAATATTTGCAATGCTTGGACTTTAAATGCATCTTCTACAGTTCTTAAAATGTTCATTTAATATAAGATTTCATTTTAGCAGACCAATTGACTTTTGTCTATCAGTGGAATATTAATTTTGATTAGTGTGATAGGGAGAAAGTAAGTTCTTTCCTAAACAACAGAAAGAGACTTTCTTTCTAGCTCATGTTTGGCAGCTGCTTTGGTTTGATACGTGATGCAAACAGCAGTGAGTGCTGACTTGAGCTTACATTAGCCATCAGTTTCACGTCTCTATAAATATGTGGCAAAAGAGATGTAGTAGTGCAAGAGTTATCTGGGAGATAACTTTCCTTTTGGGTAAAAAGAAGGTGGGATTTTCAGTGCTGAAATTAAAGTGACCTCTAGAAAGTCCATTGGGGGAACTCAAGCTCATGTTCTTATCCGAGGTTGTTGGCCTTATAAAACCCCAGGGAGAGAAGAAGTTTTTCTGAGGTTGTGTTGTAGTCATGTTAGTCTGTAACAGCTGTGTCTTAATCACAATTGTAAAAACAATAAACTACATCTTAAAATTGAGTATATTTCTTATCCTACTGTGCTAATGGATGCTGTTTCCAGAGTTTACTACTCCAACAAGTTAGAAGCCTGTAGAAGTTTATAGCCCTGAACTATTCCTTTTTTTTTTAATTTCAGCCAACATTTCTGTTAGTGGTATCACGGGTACGTGCCTAACGTATTTACAAAAAACATTTTGTTGAAGCTAAACAATTGTAGTTCTTTAGGTCTTTTCCTGACAATCCCGACAGGCTTTTCTGTACCTGTTGTATTATATATTATCTGTTATTGGTATCTCAATTTCCTCTGCTTGTTTTTTTTTATTCTTTTTTTTTTTTTTTCCCCTCCTCTTCATAAGATTGTTCGTTTAGTTGTGGAATGACATCTTGGTCCTGGTGCAGTCCTTGGGTATTTTCACTTTTTTTGTGACCAGCCAGCATCCTTTGGTTTATTGCCTTTTTTTTTTTGTTTGCTGTTGGTACAGTCATGGTTTGGGGAATCAGATGGGCTTTCCTAACTCTCTGATCATTGTTGTGGTTTGTATCACCTTCTGTTCTCTCCCTTTTGCAGTTTTTACTTTAGTAATTTCATAGATGATGTCTGTGAATCCTGCTCAGCTATTTGAATTCTGATCTGTTCCTCCTTGCGTTGTGCATTTAGTCTCTGCCTCCACCTGACGTCCCTTTCTGGGGGCCTGCTCACATCTTGGCTTAGGCCCAGCTTCAACCTGCAGATTTTATTCCCTTTCTTTCTTTCCCTTCTGAGAGCTAGACTGTTGACAATGCTTTCAGGTCTTCATCTTCAAATCTTGAAAAATGGTTTTTTTTTTTCTTCTGTGATCAGAACATGGATCTATATCCTTTTAATTCCTTTTATTTTCCCTTTGACTTCTGATTTTTGTTTTGCATCTTTCTGCCTTGCTGCCATAAGAAACCACTTCTGCTTACCTGCAGCTCTGTGAATGACTGCCTACACCTGGATTCTGGTCGTAGTCACTTCCCCTCCCTCCCTCGGTGCGTGTTTTGTGCTGTTCATCAGTTGTCCTCTGTGGAGAGTAGCGTCTTTAAGAAATCTGTGTATCCCCTTGAACTGTGACTTGTGTTAATGTGGAGACTGTATTTGTGACTGTATTGTGGGCGCACCCTCTTCTATTTCATTTTGTGCTATCATCCCTTCTGCCCTGTATGGGCTCAGTTGCTGTTTGTCCATGGGGTGGCCAAAGGCAGAAAGGAGGTCTGATAGCGGTAGCATTGGAGTCTGCGGTGTGTGACCAGTGAGGAGTTTAGGGGTGTTTCAGCTGTCCTGGAGGTTGTATTGATTCTTGCCTGAGTCCACAGATCAGCAAAAAAGTACAGTTCCTTTTTAGCAATCAAATTGTGCTGGCTGAATATTCCAGTTACCATCCTGCTGTACTTGGTGACCCATCTGGGATTCGTTTTAATTTCTTTCATATTATATCTAATTCAGGTAACAAACTCAGTCCAGTGAGGGCTTGACATTATATTTACATATGGTATTGTGAACACAGTGATGTATCAAATTAATATATCTGAATGTTAAAGTTATTTAAAGGAAATTCACAAGGGACAAAAGTGTATTGTCTTCACCACCACTTCAGAAATGGAGCACAAGGCTTGTCATGCTAAACAGGGAGCTTTCAAGGTTGGTTTATTATAAGGCCTAACAAATTTGACAGTTACCCTGTATTGTAGGTCTTGCCTTTAAATAGATTTTCATGCTAGGATAATCTTTTGAATACATCATACTTGAAAACGTGATCCATTCACCTGTTTCTTTGCCTCTTTCTTTCTTATGAAAGAGATTTGTGTTTAAATAGGGGCTTTCTCTCTCGCATCCCATCTGCTCCTTGTACTTGATCCTGAAGCTATGTCAGGGCTGAATTTGTGACATCACTGTCACCAGTGTTGCCGTGGAAATATCACAGCCACAAAATTATGATCTCCCTGCATGAGTGAGCAGCAGGAGAAGCCGACTTAGGAGAGAGGAAGACCTTAATGTGACCCATGTATCTTTAAGCTTTTTCTTTTCAGGCTTTTCTGTAGTGTGCATTCTCCTGCATTTTAATTTCCCTGTGCCAGTGTGTAACTGTTCTAACAAATAAAAATTGAAGCAGCCCTACTGCATGTGTAGCTATTAATAAGATGATGTTTTTATGAGGACGCTATATGCATGCAACAGTGTGACATGATGATAAATTTTGCTGTTAAGATTATTATGCTTTTGAAAAAGTGTTTTTAGATAACTTCTTAATTATAGCATAGCTTTCAAGGAATGTTAATTTTTTGGGTCTGACAGTGTCCTAGGGCTCTTCCAGCTATAAAGGATCATATGTACATGAAATGCAGCAAGGTTTATATGTATTGTAAATTTGTTCTTAAATCATTCCACTAATTATTTCCAACATTGTTTTCTATTCAGTGTAAACACCGAAGAGGTTTCATGCAGGTTATTATAAATTTGTCACTTCATGTGTGGTAGGTAGCTCCTGAATTGGTTACAGGCTCAGTTGTGCTAGCATGTCTTTAATTATAGCTGTATGAAAATTTTGTTTTCCCGTTGGATACCTGTTTTTTGTGATTTAAGAGTAGCTTGCATACCTGAATATTTTTCTTAATATTGTGTGCTTGACTGAGGAGATCATCCTTTTGGGCTGCTCTTTCTCTTTCTCTCTGTTCTAAACTACAAGAGTGCACAATAGCATTGCTAGAATAGTGATCTTCTAACCCTTTTCTCATTTTTGGGGCAGGAGAGAAGAAAGGGTACTCCTTATGTAAATATTCTTATAATTGAGCACTCCATTGAACTAATAGCATGAATTGTAACATTTTTTTCTGTTGCTGACAAGCTTTGTTTATTCTTCACTCGGGTTATGTTAAAACAAAATATTCTATTTATTAGAGGGCCTTAATGCCTACTCTTAGCACAAAACAGGATATGGTTCCCTCAACAATTTAGAATATATTGCTTACTGTATTTTCAGAGTAAATGATGTTTTGGATATTATACTGCACCTATGACTTTACCTTGAAAGTTGCATTTCAGCTGTATTTAAATAGACAGTCAAGGCCTATATTCCAAAGAGGAGAAAAAAACCATTAGGACCAAAATCAGATTGTAGCCCATGTCATAACTTCCAGTCCTTTGCAGCATGGTCAAGATGGTAAGCATCAATTAACATGATAGGTTGAAACATAGTAACTAGTTAGCGTGACAACTTTTTCTTGGGAAAATTTGTAACCTGATTCTCGCAAAACTTTGAGATGCATTAACTTCTGTTCACCAGAGTTTGCTAAGCGACTGGGAGATGAGTGCTAAACTATTCTAACAGCTCAGTATTTATTAATTGTGAATTTGGCTTGCAGTGTCAGTAGCACCTCCTAGCAAAAGTTTTTACATTGCCTCCCAGGCAGTTGCAGATTTTCATAATTCTTTCCTGTGTCACTCCTTAAGGAACAAGCAAACAAAAGACATAGCAAAAACGTGTGGCCATTTTAACATCATCAGCTGGCCTTCTGTATTACACTTTACTTACAGACCCAGAGGACAACTTGGTAACAGATATTAATATTATTGAAACTGTTGTGTTATTTTAAGGACGAGCATTGCTCTTTAGCTTTAGGATAAAAAGATGAAGTGTTTTGCGCTTCAGGCTGAATCACCCTTTCTACGTGTCAGGAGTAATGCAGTGTTACAGTTATCCTGACTGCATAGTCTTACGTGAGGTTGTTGGTTCAAGATTGTACGACTGCTGCACCTACAGCGACTTTACTCTTCTCCTGGCACTCTCTTGTCTCTTGAAAATTGTAAGATATGCTTGAGCCTAGAAATTGGCTAAGCAAAGCAGTCTGCAGCTTTTTTTTTTTTTTTTTTTTCTTTTCTTTTTCTTTTTTGTATCCAGGTCCTTCCATCATGAAAAGTAAACTGAATTTCTGGAAAGTTGATGCTTCTGAACTCTTCCATAGGACATGTCCAAAATAATAGTGCCAGTGTAATCTTCATGAAGAGTGTGTATTTATTTATGTATCTATGCATACACAAACATATACAGTATGTCCATACACACATGTATGTCTGAACTTCACATTTTGGTTAAATGTGCAAAGATAAAGTTGGTAATTCGTTCTATAAGCTGTACATCCTATATTGATTGTATTAAGACTGGATTGCAGAGGCCAGACACAAAAGGCAATGCAAATACAGC